AATATGTGCACGTATGTCTCAACAAAACAAAGAAAACAAACACTTTGCCGCATGTCTCGGTCGTCACCTCAAAAGTGTGTGGCGACAAGCTGCGATGTGTCCGTCTCCCGTCTCTGTCGCCTGCCTCGGTCGCTTGTCTCTGTCGCGTGCAGCCAAATTGTACCTTAACACTAATTTTTTATATTTATTAATAATTATTTACACGTGTAGGGTACAATGTTTCACGTGTCCCTGGTTCCTCCTGCCTTACTTTTTCCCCATATGGCCTCAAATTAACTCTTCGCTGAGCAAAATGACACCAATCAACACGAATCAGTTAATTATTAGAGTGTGGACTGAAATATAAATTGCTTCCCTCTGGATATTTTTTTTATTATTTTGCACAGAGAGACGAGGAGATTAACATGTAACTAGGTGTATCACTCATACACCAATATTTGAGAAGTATAAATTTCTATTTTAAAAGTGACTTAACTTTTTGCGCACCTTGTTTCACGAAGACAACAAAGGTTCCGGTAGTAGACCGTGTTGACACGAGGCCGAATTGTTGTTGCCCGAGCTAACATATCCACAACTGCCCTACAGCTGATAATTGAACCAGATAATTAGGTCCACTCGTATATCGTATTTTTTTTTCAACTCTCTTGAGCATAAAGCATGTTCAAATAATATTTCAGTTTGTCCCTATAAAAATACATCGTCTACCCATTAAAAAAACCAGTTATTGCTGAAAGCTATTTAAGGGAATTACAGCTGTTTATTCTGAGAATCTCACGAAACCTATGAATACACCCAAGGCATAAAACTCAAATTTATTGTATGACAAATCAGGTGGTAGCAACGTACATACGAGGTCTGATAACAATTCTTCTACCCTCAGAAATACGAGTAAGTGGAAGATTTCTGTGTACCACGAAAGTCGAGTGGTGCTATTCATACGTCCATTGCAGTACAATGCTTACTCGTATCGTATCCATGCAGCAGGTAAACACACACAGAACGGAAGTGCTGGATTACTGCTGTCGCCATATTCACTGTGTTGTTTACATATAAACAAGTGGACGATGTTATCAGAACAGCTAGTATCATCAATTTCATGTTGTATCTGATTACGCTTTAGGGTTTGTTATTCTTATCGCATGTCGTTCGCTGCAGTGTAAGTCAGACTGATGTGCTGGAAATAAATAAATAAATAAATGAAAGTCTAACGTCAATAAAAACAATAAATGAAGTTCGTTGTGTGCTGTATAGAATTTAAAACAAACTTTATATTCCCAAGTTTTAGCAACATAATTCATCGGAATCATAAGCAGAGTCAAACATAATTTTATGAAAAACATGTTACTAAATTGTTTATTTTAACCGTCTAATCACAATAAAATATTTTATTAAATATTAAAATATTATTACTATAATTAACATTTAATATTTAAAGTATTTAAAATATATTAAAATATATATTAAAATAATGCTCTTTCTATCGAAATGTTCGCTTTACAATTAGAGCATCAGCATAGAAAATGAATAATTTTCCATTAATGTGTGTTTATAATTTCTACGCGACATACATTTACGAAACAACATTGAATGTGATAACAAAGTACAATTGATCTAGAAGAGGATAACTTTCCGATATTTAATGGACATCTGACGAAGGATTGCATTTAGAATATTACATTTAAATTTATATCGATTATACACCTGAAGATGGTTCATTGAAAACCGAAACATGTCGTGAAAATGATGATGCTCTTAT